GTATGGTTTTTACGTTGTAAATGACCACTTTGTATCACTACCCTTGAGACACGGAAAGAATGCAAACATGATAGAGCTCCAGGATGGCTCCCCCCTCTTTATCTCTTCTGGTTCAGTGCATAGCTCTTTCTTGGCTGGAAAGTCTGTCAGGAATGCAGAAACCCATGTCTTGTGCTCTAAGCTACATGATTCTCTCACAACAACCAGCCTGTGAGCAGTCATATCACTCCCTACTGGGAAAGTGATGTTTACACTAAAACTACAGTTAGGACTTATTTTAGAATGTATGAAGGATGATCTTACATAGATATTTTTCATGAGAGCAGTAATACAGCTGCATTAATTTACCTGGTAGGTGATTAATAGAGATGGGCTGAGGAGGCCATGTTGTTGCTTTGTAAAAACTGACGGTTATCTCCTGGCTTTGCAAAACTGAAACCAGGACTAGTTTGGGTCCAAATTCTATTTATTCCAAACCACCCAAGTTGGTGAGTTCAAAGGTGGTTACAGATAAAAACCTTCTGGTCTGGGCCAATCTCTAGTTACCCCTTGTTTCATTGGACTAACTTAAAATATATCTGAAATTCTAATTAATTCAAAGTATATTCAGTGTTCCCTCTAATTTTTCCCACCCATGTTTGGAATCAGTTTTGTTAAGTGCACCAATATGGAGGTGGTGATATGTGGTTTGAGGGGGCTCAGGGCTGGGCCAGAGTGTTGGGGTGCAGAGGGGTGAGGGCTCCGGCTGGAGTGTGGGCTCTAGGGTGGGGCCTAGGGTATGGGAGGAGGTTCAGGGCTGGGGCAGAGGGTTGGGTGCATGGGGGATGGGACCGGGGATGAGGGGTTTGGGGTGCAGGCTGTCCTGAGCTGGGGGAGAGCATCTCTCCCTGTCTGCGGCAGGTCTGGGGCCAGGGCCGGGGGAGAGGCGCCTTTCCCTGCTGCAGCCCTGAGCACTTGCGCAGCCCTTGATAGGCTGCTGAGCCTAGAGGGAACTTGGTATATGACATAACTTTTTATTATATTTATTACTTCTGGGAGAATTCTGTGCCAGAAGTTTAAAAATTCTGCACACAATATTTTAAAACTCTGCATATTTTATTTGTCAAAATAACACAATATAATCAAGTCCAACAAGTTTTTTGGGGGGGGGGGCGAAGAGGTGGTATTAGGGAATTGGGGAACTTCCCCCACACAGACTCTGGCTAACCCCAAGCCTCTCCCATTCAATCAGGCACATCTGCCTCTGTCCCCGTGTGTCCCTGCACCCCTTGTGGCCTTGCAACCCCTCTCAGCCACCCCTCCTCCCCCTGTGGCCCTGCACCCCCTCTCAGCCACCCTCTCCCCTATCTCCATGTGGCCCTGCACCCCCACTCCCATTCAGCCCCTGGCTCAATGCTGTCCCCCACTAGCTCCTGTGCCCCTGCCCCAGTCTGTCCCCCCAGTAGCCTTTCTGAACCCCAGTCTGTGACTGCCCCAGTAGCCTCGTGTGCCCTGCTCTTTGGTTCCCCCTCCCCCCAATCCTGTGCCTCCTCCCCTGGTCCCACCATCTGGGCTCTGTGAGGAAAGCAGCCTCTCCTCCTCCCTATCTGGGGCTGGCTGAGCCAGCTGCCCTCTCTTCTGGTGCCACAGCAGCCCCTGGTGGGTGAAAGGTGTAATTGAAGCGCCTCTCCAGCAGAATGTATTTTCTGCGGAGAAAAAATATCTGCGGGGTTCATGAATTCTGTGCACGCGCAGTGGCGCAGAATTCTCCCACAAGTACTTTGTGAGCTGAGTTTTCATGATTTAAAACTGGTTTTCAGTATATTTTTCTTGCAAAGTCTGCCCTTAGCACAGATATTAGTGTGCATGTTTTTAGTAGTACACGGGCAACATGTTAATTGCAGAGTTTTCTGAGATGATGCAGTGCAGCTAAGATTTGTGTAAGTGCCTTTTTTCTATTGCTGCTGCATTATATTACTGTATTTCATGGTAACTTTAATGTCAGAGAAATTAACATCTTATTTTTTACTCAGCCCTGTGAGTCCATCATAATCTTCCAGTTTTCAGACTTCCTCTCCCTGCTTGGTTGCTTGCATAGATTATAAAACCAGAAAGGACCCTTATTATAATCTATTCTGATCTCCAGTATAACAGAGACCATGACATTTCATGAGCCCAATAACCTGTGGTTGAAGTAGGGCACATCTTCTGACTTCGTTTATGTGTATTTTAAACTGCTTCCTCTAGTTGTCTCTTCCTGTTTCCCTTGCTATACAGATTTTTGGTTATTTTTCATGTACTATGAAATCCATCAACTTCTCCTGACACTGAGCCTTGTCCAAGTTGTCATCTCCCACCCATACCTTCAGCCATAAACTTTATCTTATCAATAAGCCTCATTCTTCCCCTTTTTATACCATTTGTGATCCTGCCCAAACTGACTGTTCTCTGGTTATATTTGAATACATTCCCCTCTATTTTCCACCTCAAACATTCAGTCTCTTTATTCCAACAAGTATCTTGATCCCACTGGATTTTCCACTGTGAGATTTGCATTCTTGATCCTGTTTTTTGGTGTCTTGTGTCTCCTTCATTCTCCACCCTCTTGATGTCTATCTCCATTCTCTCTACTGTTCTTTAACCAACTTGCCCTATTGATTCACACTGTTTCCCTTGTTATACAGATTTTTTGGTTATTTTTCATCTACTATGAAATCCATCAACTTCTCCTGCTAGGATTTCATTTAAGGGGCCAAGAGCGCTTATTTAAATGTCTGAGGATTGCCATGGGAACATTTAAGAGGCAAAAGCATAGATTTAATTCTGGTGACCACCACTAAGGTGTTCATCAGATTAGTATTATTGGGTAATTATCTATCCATACCTTTATTTTTAACTACGTGTATTGTTAAATTGCTCTTTTTATAGATGAATATCACAGGCAACATTTCCTCCTTTGACTTTATTTTTTCCCCTGGGCTTCTACTTAATTCCTAAAACTTATTTCTTCTATAACACAGTATATCCCAGTGCTGTAACTAGTTAAACCATTATGGAGGTGGATACAATCGTGGCTGTACAGTTGAGGTTGAATGAGGTAGCTAGTATTGGGTGAACCCTTATGAAAGAAATAATCTACCAATACTTGAAGGGTGCATATACTAGATCCCAGATATCTTCATATTAAGTCTACAGATGACAAATTAAACCAGGTACCTCTGCATGATGGGGTCATCTGCTTATTTTCTTAAGGTTTTTACTACCTTACAATGAGCACTCATCCCAGGCTCTTGACACCGTGAATACACAAACTCCATCAAATACCCCAGCAACAGCATAAATAAAACAGTTTAATTTGTACTCACACCGGAGTCCACCCTACCCACTAACACCTCCCATCCTTATGGGTAAGGGAGAAAAGTTAGATCACCATGGTCTGCTGAAAAGGCCTGACAAACTTGGAACACTGGAAAAAAACTATTGATGACATGGAGATCCTGCAGGAATTTAACATTCTGATGTCTGCCTCAGGTCTTTGGAAACTGAAAATAAAGTTACTCAGGGCCTGTCTACACTAGAAGTTATATTAGGTTGATATACAGCCACCGCAGTAATTACTGCAGTGGTTCGTGTCCATACTACCCTCATGTTGGTGGTGCGCATCCCCACCAGGAGTGCTTCCACCGACTTAAGAGGGGCAGTGTGGGGGCTGAGAGCCTGGGCTCTCAGCTCTGTGCAGCTCCCCGTACTCTCGGCTCCTTGCTCTGCGCCCAGAAGCAGGGTGGCTGCCGGACTCCCGGCAGGGAGCCAGCAGCGTCAGGGCAGCATCCGGCAGGGAGTGGGGAGCCAGGAGCCCAGGGGCAGCAGCCAGGCTTTAGCTGGAGCTCCCTCACCCACCCTGGGGTGACTGCCCGAGCTGTGACTGGCTTTCTTGCCCAATATGGGAGCCGTGAAATTGACAAGAATGACCATCAACAGCTGATGTAAGGAACGCAGTGTCTTCAGGATCACTGCGTCGCCCTAACTACACTGACACAAGCCCTATGCCTCTCGTGAAGATGGAGTTATGATGTTGGTGTAGTAGGGCACTTACATCAGAGGGAGCAAGGCTGTAGTGTGTACACAGACAGAATTAGGTCAACGTAAGCCGCTTTACGTCGACCTAGCTCTGTAGTGTAGATCAGGCCTAACTAATTCTTCAAACATGAGTGCTTCTTTAGGGATACTCTGTAAAGGAAAACTATCATTGCTCCTTAACAGATAATTCTCCAAGGCAACATGTCAGTAACTTCATTTTAGGTTGTTCGGTTTTTTTTGTTTGTTTTTTTCTTCTACATACAGCTTGATACACAGGTATTGATGCAAAACTCCTCCCCCCCCCCCCTTTTTTTTTTTTTTTTTTTTTCTATACAGATATTGACTATTTTAGACATATAGGGTTATAACAAACTGAAAAAAAAACCTATTCCATCTTTCATGTTGGCAAAAAAATCAGATAGAGGAAAGTGATTAGATTTCCTGCATTCAATTCTACAGTAAAATCTATAGGTCCTTGAAACATCAATTAGAGGAATGAACAAGTATGTGTTTTTGTTTTTGTACTAATGGTGGAAGGAAGTGACTGATGCTTTAGTGTAGAGTAGCTAAATCAGCTGTTCTGTAACTTTTTGTTGTGACTTTAACAGTAGAGATAAGTATCTTAAAACAGGCTTTTTTGCTGTACTCAACTTCAGTAAATTTTTCCAGCTTACTATCAAAACTCAGGCATATGTGAAGTGTTTGCTTAATAAAGCTAACAGTGATCCATTTACTTATTCTCTCACTGCCCTTTGTAACAGCTAGCTCAGTATTAGGAAGAGCTTTGTTGAGGCTGAGAATACTGGTGGTGGTAGTCAAGTGCTAGCTCCTAACTGGAGGGGGATGTGGGGGGGTCACATGATAGTAAATCTAGGATTTCTTGCTTCATTTATGTGTGTGCATAGAATGTTATGGTCATTACTAGATCAAAGGATGCTGTTAATAGCTGATGGTAATTCCTCTGTGACCTATTCACTTAGGTAAATAAACTTTCCATTCAGAAAACACAAGGCATCTTGCTGCTCACTTAACTGAAGAAGCTGAGTTCATTTTAAAGTCTTCCTTTTCTTTGTGCAATCCATTTCATTTTTGAGTCCTTTTCTAACAATAAAAGAATCACTGCAAGAATTCTGCAAAAAAAATCAGGTAAAAATGCATTTTTTCTTAAAAAAAAAAAAAAAAAGTTGTTTTAATAGAAAAATTATCCAACTGTTCTAGTAATCTGGGGATAAGAAGCATTTTTAAAATGTACAATTGAAAAAACTTTATTTAAAAACATAATCAAGACTTGGAAAATAGTACAGGGTTTGATTAAGCTTATTTTAGCATTTTATATACATTTGAACATACAGGACTTTACAATGCCAGAGGATACACACACTGTGTTAGCTGTTTAATTGTAAGTGGTTGCTTTTAAATATTAAGCAGTATTTACAGTAAGTGTTGCTATTGACCTTGTTACTTATTGATTAAGATGCCAACTTACATTGAAGAGATGTACTTACATTACAAGATGTACAACTTACAAGAACATTGAAAAGATACGAAGTTGAGGTCATTTATTTTAGTTCATAGCAAATTTCATTTCGCTTGTCAGATTTTAAAACACTAACTTTTTGCCCTCAATCTATTATGCCTGTGGACGAATGATAGAGTTAGTTCAGGCATATTTTTTTCGGGTTATATATTTTGCAAGATAAACTTAGTACCTTTAAAATATAAATTCAGCTCTGTTGTGATTGTGTTGCAACTAACAATAATATTTCATAGTATGAATACCTCTCTGAGCTAAGCAGTCTAGAATTATTTAATTTGTTTTAAACAACCATATAATTGCCATCAGCTTTTTTTCCCCTTTTGTTTGTTGGACTTGATGTATGGCTAAATTGTGGTATTATGCATTTTGGCTCTAGTTGCCGTGTGCTTTTGTTACTCGGCTTTCTTGAGTAACGGCAATGGAAAGAACAGTTGCTTAGACTAGAAATGTGTTACTCTGCATGGACTGATCTGTCTTATGCAGCAAGAGTTAAGCTGGTTAGAAATTCCTTTTTTCCATGAGCTGTGGGGCGTTTATAACTTAGCTGTGAAAATTCAGATTACAGTTCACACTCAAACAGTGTTTGAGGTGTGAACCTGGGAGTGACCTTATATAAAGCAGAATGTAACTTTGTTTTTTATGTAGTGTTTGTATAATTATAAACTTTCTCTGAGTGGGGAAAACACTCTAGCATTACAGATTAAACAAATATAGGACGAACCGCAGCAATGCACTGCAAGTTTAAAGGAATAGGATTCAGTTTAAGGATAAAAATTCCGTTTGTATTTTTGGATAGATGCACATAATAGAAACATTTATTTATTTTTATTGTATTTATATATACTTATTTTCTGGTATTAGCCCATGATGGCAGAAATCTCTTGGAAAAACAGTTGATCTTTTGAGATGCTACCATTCAAAACGCTGACAATCTGATATCAACTCCTGAGATTTGAGCACTGAATCTGAATCCAAAACCTATACCTGATTCACCTTGAATGTGAACTATCAATCAGTCCTCTGTATAGTTCATGGTAAGCCCATCTAAGCACAGGGATTTAATGACCAAATTTGCTTGGGCATTATATATGAATTCCAGCCACTAATCTCAATAGCAGAATTTGTCTCCCACTTCAAATCTTGTTGAGTTTTGAGCAGCAGTGGAAGGAAAGAAAAGGGAGGAAGGAAGAGATGTGAAACTGATGCCCAGGAACAGAAAGTGGAACGGGCAGAGCATCAAAAGAGGTGGCTTGTTAATGGATTTCTCTTCAGAGGGCATGTTAAATAAAGACAAAGCCTATCAAAAAGAATATTGAGAAACTAGATGTTAGAGACTTAGCAGTTTAAACTGTATTGTAGAAGTAGTGTGTCCAGTTCTGGGCACCATGTTTCAGGAAAGATGTGGATGAATTGGAGAGAATCCAGAGAAGAGCAACAAAAATGATTAAAGGTCTGGAAAACATGACCTATGAGGGAAGACTGAAAAAACTGGGTTTGTTTGGTCTGGAGAAGAGAAGACTGGTGGGGGGACAGGGTGAACACAACTGTTCAAGTACATAAGTTTGTTAGGAGGAGGAGGAGGGAGAAAAATTGTTCTTGTTAATCTCTGAGGATAGAACAAGAAGCAATGGGCTTAAATTGCAGCAAGGGCAGTATAAATTGGACATTAGGAAAACTTCCTAACTGTCGGAGTGGTTAAGCACTGGAATAAATTGCCTAGGGAGAACATAAGAATGGCCTTTTGGGTCAAACCAGTGGTCCGTCTAGGCAAATATCCTGTCTTCTGACAGTGACCAATGGTGCTTCAGAGGGAGTGAACAGAGCAGGTTATCAAGTGATCCATCCCGTGTCACTCATTTCCAGCTTCTGGCAAACAGAGGCTAGGAACGCTTCAGAGCATGGTTTTGCATCCCTGTCCATCCTGGCTAATAGCCAGGATCCACTGATGTACCTATCCTCCATGAACTCATCTTGTTCTTTTTTGAATCCTGTTATAGTCTAGGCCAGGGGCGGGCAAACTTTTTGGCCTGAGACCACATTGGGGTTTTGCAATTGTATGTTTGGGGAGACTGTGCCTCCCCAAACAGCCTGGCCCCCACCCCCTATCTGCCCCCTCCCACTTCCTGCCCCCTGACTGCCCCCCTCAGAACTCCCAACCCATCCAACCCCCCCTGCTCCTTGTCCCCTAACCGCCCCCTCCCAGGACCCCCGCCCCTATCCACACCCCTGCCCCCTGACAGCCCCCCGGGACTCCCACCCCCTATCCAACCAGTCTGTAGTTGCCAGGATTGCCTCTGGAGCTTTTTAAAAAAATTGGCGTCACATTAGCTATCCTCCAGTCATCTGGTACTGTGTAATCTCAGTCACTGGAGATTTTTAAGAGCTGGTTAGACAAACACCTGTCAGGGATGGTCTAGACAATACTTAGTCCTGCCATGAGTGTAGGGGACTGGACTAGATGACCTCTCAAGGTCCCTTCCAGTCCTACAGTTCTAGGGTTCTGTTAAACTGTTGGAGCATGGTACGTTACAATGGATAAAAGCTTCTGAAAAGCCTTTCCGTACTTATTCAGCATGATAAAAAAAGATTTCTATAAATACTCAGGAATTTTTCTGAAAAGACTCAAGAAAAATAAAAAAGTCTAGTGAAAAGATTTTCACGTCTGGGTGCTTTTGCCAGACTATATTTTCCATGGTGGATTAACTTTGAACTACCAATTAAAAGTTATTACTAAATCCTGTTATAGCAGAAAGCAATTATGTTCTTAATCTTAAGATTTTACTAATGTGTCTCTTTCAGAGTGGATTTTTTACTTTTATTGCCAAGTCTTTTGTAAGTTACTGTCACAGGGTAGCTGCAAAGCCAATAGGTTTCCTTGTGAGAGTAATAGTGGTGGCCAGTACAAAATGTGCATTACTTAAAAAAACAAAACAAAACAGAAAGTGAGAAAAGGGGATAGATAATATTACTGTAGTAAAGTGTGTCTATTGGTACAATGATGACTTCATTTCTTGTTCTGAAGCATTTAAAATCCTTGAAATCCTGTCATGCTTTGAGAGAATTATTGCAGTTTTCAGACAGCATCATTTGGAACTAAAGACTGGATACACTTTACTGCTATGAAAATTGTGACTTTTATCAGCTTTGTTCTTCTAAAACCAGACAGACCAAGCCGCCTCCATATTTTACAAAGGGGTCTTAACACTGCCAAGGTTGATAGATCCAAAGTTTAGTTTACCTTAAAAACTTGATTTTTTTTTATTCCTGGTAATTATGGGAAGTAAGGATTATGGTAGTGCAAAAATCCTGACATTTTCCAACAGCCACCAAACAATATGACCGGCAATAACACATTCCATATTTGTCAGAGTTCCACCTTAGGCAAATACTGCACTATCTAAGTGGTAACTGCTGGCAGGTGCTTTTCAATGGTGATTGCTTATGCTCATCACTTGCTTACACCTGTATGTCTGTCTCAGAAACATAGCCACGATTAGAAATAGAGGTGAACCACTAACATTTTCAACAGCAAGCGGAGTAAGAAAATGTTCTGAGTTCATTAGAAAAGCTTAATTGTGCCATTTCTTACAGAGACATGTCTTTACAGAGACATGAAAGGGAAATACTACGTTCAGTCATAAAATCAACATTTTGACTCTTCTTGTGTTCCTCTAATTTACATACTCACCGCCTGATCATACCCCCATAAAGTTAGTGGAACTATTGCCATTGATTTCAGTGATCAGATTACTTTTCCTATTAATTTACTTTGAATGAGGTCAAAGCCTGAGATTTGTTCTTAAAGGGATCACGCTCATGACTGATAAGTAAAATGAGATCAGTGACACTGATGTTATTGTGTGTCTGAACATGATTCCGGGCACAACAGAACACCCTGCTGTCACATTCACGAGTGTTTAGAGAATTACCAAGTATGCTGGACTCCTCCGGGAGCCTGGCGATAGAGTACTCTACTCACCACAGGTGGTGCCTCCTCCTGGCAGTTCTGGGAAATAGCTCTGCCAGGCCAACGCCCCTTCCAGGGGTTACACTCACTCTTTCCCACTTTATGGCCCGTCTCTCGCACCAGGAACTGCAGCATCCTCTTTGTGACTCAGCCCTCCAGCCAGGTCACCGTGTGGTTCCCCTTGTGGGGATGTGTATTGAAGTCCCTGCTCACCAGCAATCTCAGGCAGTCCTCCCATTCACTGCCCCAGGTGCCATTCCCTTAGTGGCTGGTAGGGGAACCCGGGTTCCCCACCCCCCCACTCTAAGTTCCTGCTCAGGGACTCTCTAAACCGCAGTCAAGGTGTGGCTTCCTCCTGCACCTTACTGTCTTTCCCTGAGTCTCTTCCTTATCTCCTACCCTTTCCCATTCCTCTGGGTTTGCCAGTCTCTCAGTTCCCTCCCCCCACAGAGTAACCATGCGCTACTTGTCTCTATAGCCCCCAAATACACCTCCCTCCTCCCAGGGAGTGACTGCAGACTACCTCCCTACAGCTTCCTCTGTTTTAAATTTCACGTCTTTGGGTATGTCTACACTACGAAATAACTCCGATTTTACAGAAGTCGATTTTTGGGAACAGATTGTATGAAGTTGAGTGCACGC